TTTGTTAGGGATTCTGCTGAAAATTTTGGTGAAGCATTTTTTTAAAATGAATATATTATTTCTATAATATGAAACATTTCTGTTGTTGAAGAACAGTCTGTTTGCTATAAATGCTACTGTTTGTAGTCCTTTATACGGCATATGAGTCTGATCCAATCTTTAATTTAGAAAAGAGTTAAATTTATTGAATGAGGAATGACCAATATATGTGTTTAATGGTCAAACAGGGGTGTGTTAGAGGGAGCTCAGCTTTATTCAAATTCTATGCCTTGTATTGCCAATGAAATATATATATCAAAAAGCTAGCAGCACCTAAATATATATCAGAAAGCCAGCAATATTTTAATATATATGAGAAAGGCAGCAACAGTTGTAATATACATTAAAAAGCCCAAATAGCTGAAATTATGGAGATATGCCTCTGTGATCTTATAAGCCAAAACCTACAATTAAAATATCATCGACAAGTCTAGAAGAGAAGTAATGTTCTACTTTGAGCTACAGAAGTAGGGTACATTTGTACAATTCATTACCAAAAATATATTGTACTCAGCTGTTTCAGTGAATATCCTAATAGTAATTACTTCATTTTTAAATGATGAACTAAAAATACAAAATACAACATGGAAAATCATAAGAGTTTCTGTGATTTGGTGTAGTTGTTTTAGTGTGGAAGTGGCTGAGAATTGAGAGGTTTGTAGATTGACCAATTTAAGAACATATTGAGAAATCATCTTCGATTAAAAAACAAGCTTTGGATTAAGAAAACTATTGAAACTGCATCAGCACGAACTTTGCAATGCTATTTGGCCCAAAAATGTTTCTCTACTTGAGTCAGTTCATTGAACCTTATATTAAAAGCAGTTCAGCACAACAATCACCATACGCAATCAAATTTCGTAAGTTCGACGTAAAGGCATTTCTTTCATTTTTTCGTAATCCTTGATTCTTGCGATATGTAATGACATTTAGTAGCCTTCAACAATCAGTTATTACACACTTATCCATAAAAAACGCAATATTATCTCAAAATGCTGTATTACTAGCAGCAATAGCTATAAAAACACTAGCTCAAATTTTAAAACTAGGAACCAAAATGGCGGAAATTGATCAGGTGATCAATATTGCCCAATCAAAGTAAGCTAAACGGATAGCAATAGATGTCCCAACTCTTTCTTATAGAGGGCTCTGGTTTAAGTTCATTCTCGAACTGATTTTTTTTAATTTAGCTGTTTTCATGCATCATAAATTATTCAGTAATCGTTTCTACAGAAGTATAAAAAAAGCATACGCTCTTGCTTTTAACTGCATAATAACTACATTCTGTAAAACGACAACATTTCTCAAAGATAATAGTTCGAATTACTTATTTAGGTAGGAATACCGTTTTGGTGTGCACATCGATAAGTAAAAAGCCATTTATGTTGACTGCGTGAAAGTTTTTTTTAGAATTTCGACATTTTAGTCGTGAATCTTGGTTTAAATGAATAAAGCCTAAGTGATGATATCGATATTTCTTGTCTTGATGATGACTTAGCAAAGTTATTGAAGAGGTTTTGGAAGTTTCTCTTAAGACTGTATGGATGAATCTTGCAGTATATATATTGTCGTTTGTGAAGAAAAGACCGGTAAGTAGGTTATACAAAGTTTTACAATAAAATATTGTAGCAAATAATTCAAACATAAGTTGGAAACTAAAGAATGCAAAGCAGTAATGTCATATAATTTTTTTCTATTCTATGCGATGGCAGGAACATGTTATACTGTTTGCTCAAATTTAAAAATAAAAGTTTCAGAAAACTTAGAATTTGTCGATATTGTCCTTTAACTTTCTCAGGTATGATAAAAATTCTAAAAGAAGATGGTTATTTCAAGTCAGGCGTTTTTTCCTAGTAAAAGAGCCTCTTATCTCTTCTTCTAAGACAGGAAGAATTCAAGTTATTCTTGTAGCTAATGGAAAAGTTGTTTATGCCTTGCACGTTGTTACTGTTAGAAGTTTACAACAATTTCTTAAACGTAAATTATGTTTATGCTTATTTAAATAATTTATTACTAAGTAATGGCAATACATGGGCGTCAATCCTGCGCAAATTGGGGGTGACCATATTCATATATTCAGTTATGCCAGGCTGATTTCTTATGAAAATGAAATTTTTTGGAAAAGAAATTAGCCACGCATTACAGAATATATGAATATCCCCTCCCACCCTAAATAAGACAGGATTGACGTCAATGTGGCAATAAATAGTTCGTACTAAATCAAATAAATTATTGTGCTACTGTCGCAAAAGTGAAAAAAAAATTAAACGTCTTGTTGACATTGCAGACTGATTTTCTCCCTATCAAAAGCAGTAAGTACAACAAGTCAAAAGAAATGTTTAATAACAGCTTTATTGTTCGCAAAATCATTTTTAAAAATGTGTTTGTTAGCTGGTAACTGTTATCGAAATACGTTTAATAGAGACACGAGTTTCGTTTTTTGAAAGGAGTCAAATTTGCTTTATCTAATCTGTCGCTATAACATAAACCAGGATAGATTATTGACGTGATTCTTCTTTTTACTCTATCACTATTTTCACTCTATATTCATAGCGCAAATTTGAAATCCATTGTTCCACCTTGCACTTAGACTAACAATGTTGACTGCTGTAAACTTTCTATAATTTAAAATTAAAATGTACAATTAAGCAATCGTTATACCTAATATAACAAACACAATTATTTGAATAATAAAAGTGCATTAAATTTAAGTCGGAAAAATTTGGCTTGCCTCCCAAATGTTACTAAATGAATTTTAAAAGAAAATGGCGACGTATGTTTTTTCATATCATGATGTGTTTGGATCTTTTGCTGTGCTGGAGATAATCTTCATCTTTTAGCAAATGTTTTGTCGCATCAATACACGTTTTTGAATCTTAAGCTCAGTTTTTCTTCACTAAAAGGGGGTTGATTAAAATAAGACAAATTTTGTACATATTTAACCAACTCTCTTTTTAATTACAAAAACATCGTAGAACTAGTAAGTAATACATGTTTTTGCATCTTAAATACATTTTACTTAACAAAAAGGAGGTTGGTTAAAACAAGACAAATTTTGTAATAAATATTATAATCAATATGTACAACTTTTGTCTTATTCGAACCAACCTCGATTTAGTGAATAAGCACTGAGTTTAAAATGCAAATCATGTACTACATCGCATTTGTTTGTTGTTTTTTGTAATTAAAATGAGAATTAGTTATATATGTACAAAATTTATCTTATCTTAAGCAAATCTTGAATATTATCAGTGTTCCCGAAAGGAAAAAAAGACGACCTAGATATTTTTTCCACATATTGTCTCCTACATAAAGTTGTCAAGAAATGAAAAACTTTTACAGTAACGATTAGCAGTTTCGTTAAACATGTAAAATTATTTATTTGTAACCAGCCAAGAGTTTCCTCTTGCATTTTAAGAAAGGTACAAAGATAAACAGCTGCAACATAAAGCATTGAGATTTTGGTCAGCACTTAGTGAAGTTTGAAAAAGATCACCATTATGAGGTAACTATAAACATTTGATAACACAAGCTATGTTTACTTTGTTTATGTCTGCACAGAGCTTTATATGGAATTTCCACAAAAAACTTGTCTGTCATTAGAGAGTTTGCATAAGAATAGATAAGACTCGTCATCTTCTCCAAGTGTACTCATCACATGAGTATTATGTTTTGTTGCGGGTTAAGCACTTTAAAGCAATCTGATAAGTGATTACTTGCAACTTAGGAGTATTTTTCACTAATACAAGTGCTAATAACATTACTTTTTTTCTTGTGTGTTGGGAGGGAGGGGGGGGGGGAGTCATAGAGTGCATCTATCTTCTATGAAAAAGGTTTTAATTAACTTAAAGTAGGTTGGCTGGTGAAGTCAGAAAATTTGAGTTCGAATCCAATGTGATAGTCAATGTGAAACAGAGCTATGCTTGTCCGAAAGTGATGATCAAGTTTTAAAACCCCGGATCTTGCTGTATAATCAATTTTATTACCAGCACAGATGTATTATTACATTAACTACTTAAACTATGCAACTTATTCTTTATAAAACTGAGATGATCAGTTTATTAAAACTGCAAAAGGGTGAAAGTAAAAATTTGAATTAGACAAGAGTCACAAGATTCAACATGTTTTAGTATAACAATCAAAGTTCTGTAGAAGAACATCCTTTTTTACTGGCCATTATAAATAAATTTCTAGCAAATCAGGGTCATAAAAATAGATATATCTGTGTGTAAATCATACCAACAATATTTTATAGATGAAGTGACATGTCTACGTTTTGCTAAGAGGCATGTTTAATGGAGTATTTGTAGACAACACTGGAATTAAAGGTTAACCTCCTTTAGGATAAATCTGTCTGCCAGCAAACTGTAAACAAGCTTAGTCTGAAAATTAAAGTCATCTATAAGCTCAGCTCAATGAGTTAACGAGTCACTCCGTTCACCCCCCAACTGCTTGCTTTTTCTTTGTCTTCTATACAAGAATATCTGCCTTTGCCATGCTTCAATTTTAATAAATTGTTTTGAAATCATGTTGTACTTCAAATTGTACCACAATTTCTTTTTTTTGTGTGTTTTTCCATAGTTTTCCCTGTTGTTGTTTTATTCGCCATGTTGCATGAGATTAATCATGTGGCATAGAGGCCAGGCTTTACCAGGCCAGCTAAGCTTAGTCCCCACACCTTAGTTTTTCTTGCTTGATTATTCTACAAATTTTGTCTGAAATAATATCTAAATAGTCGGCGGTTGGAATATTGCCAATATGCTATCGTTTGACACAGTGGAAAAGGTGTCAAATGTCAAGACAATCACATCGCAAGCATTTTGTGCGATTGACACCATGAGACCTGGATCAACACCCTGGCCATAATTTTGTTGCGCAATGACTGTGACATCGTTGCAGATGGGAAATAGTAGTAAAACAGCTTGCCAAAATCAATAATATTGATACCATTGATTGATACATAATATATCTACACTGCGAGTATTGATATTCGGCGCTATACTAAGTCGAAGTTTCAGTTGTTTGAATATTCAAGAAGGTATTTCCGTCGAGTTTTTTAAGCTGAAGAAACTTATGAACGCTTTTTGGTGCAAGCGAGTATGAACAAGCAAAATTGGAATAACGACGATCGACGACGAGTATGATCTTGTGAATTTCCAGAATTGTCTTTTCCGCAGAGTCAGAATGACATATAATGCTTTGTGTACCAGTAAGGTTAGATTCTGACGTAGTTACTTGCTATAGATGATAAAAATCACTCAATTATGCTTATGGCCCTTAATGATGTATGTATCAAATGGACTTAATATGGTGGTCAGTCACTCAAAGTTCATTAAAATGACATCGTATTTTCATTGAAAATAAGCCATCTCCTTAATTATTAAAGCTTACTATAACTCTACAGCTGTGTCCTTGAAGCTGTTTGCTTTGTACCCCATTGATATATATGTATATAAAATAATGCTACTTCTCAATTTTTAATGCCTGCTTTAACACTGCAACTGTATTCTTGAAACTCACCGGTTGCTTTGTACCATATAGATCATATAAATAATTAGCCTCTTTCTCAATACTTAAGCTTTCTATAAAAAGGCAAAATTCTTTATTCCCAAAAGCTGGTTACTTTGTAACACTACCATATAGATATATGTACAAATAAGCCACCTCCTGAATTATTAAAGCTTGCTATAAGAATGCAGCTGTGTCCCTGAAAATGTTTTCTTTGTACCAAAAGATGTATATAAATAATTATCCTACTTCTCAATTTTTAATGCTTGCCATAACACTGGAACTGCATTCCTGAATTTGGGTTGCTTTGACCATATAGTTATAGAAATAAGCCACCTCCTCAGTTCTTAGAACTTTCTATAACACTGCAACTTTGTTCTCTAAGATGTTTGCTTTGTACCCTATTGTTATATAAATAATAGTTATCCTTCTCAATTTATGAAGTTTGCTGTAAAATTGCAACTAATTCTCCAAGCTTGCTGCTTTGTACCCTATAGATAAATAAATAATGAGCCTCTTCCTTGATACATAACATTAAGCATGCTAATTTGTTGTATAGCTGAAGCTTATTGCTTTGGACATGATCATTCTACTAACATTAAAAAAATAGTTTATGTACCTCAACTATATAACTATATAGTAATATTTTCTACTCATCTTATGAGTATATTCATCTATATTTTCTACTCAAATTATGGACCGGCAAAAATGTTTCGGAGCCAATCAAAGCGTGCCACTTAGCCGGAAGTGACGCTTGCCATATAATAGTTACCATTATTTACCATTACTTACTTTACATATTTGTAAATGTAGGTCAACAACGATCAACAGCAACAACAACAAAAACTGTCCTTCAGTTGACTGTTGACAGTTGTCGTCAGTTGTTGACAGTTGTCAGTTGTTGTTAGTTGTTGACAGACTGTTGACAGTTGCTGTCAAAAACAGTTGACTGTTGTTGTCAGTACTAGGCTTTGGCTCTGTACTTGAGGAACGTATAGGGAGTAAAAGCGGACCTTGGAGGCTTTCTACGGTCAATCTTTCGTACGCAGCTTGTCGAAGGTATAGTTGTAAGAAAAATGGTGGAGATAATTTTCAATTACAGAATTGTCATCCTCAAAATTTCGAAATAAGACTTAGGAGCATTTAACCCTTTCTTTATTACCATAAGTGTTTTAAAACTCATATTTACTATCGTATAATACATTTATTTTGCGAAAGGGTAAGCTTTACAAGTCTTTGAAAAATATACATGTTTGGACAAAATAGTCATCATATTGTGGATTTTTCTTTCAGTTACCGGCTGTTTTAGTGGTGCCACGAGACGTGACCGATGACTCTTTGTTGCGCGTGTCTAAAAACAATCGCCATATGCGTTTTCCTGTTGCGACGTGGATACATAAAGGCAATAAATTCGCCGTTTTCATGGGATCTTTGCCATTAAACGAAGCTCTGTGGCATCCATCATTCGCTCTGGTGTAGCTCCAAGTGGTGGAAGCACTGACGCAAGACGCTCGTCCAACGTGAAGCAAGATAAATATTTATCTCCCGTTGGTTAGTTGCTTACATTTATCGTTTCAACGCTCGTCCCTTCCCTTACATGTAAGTGCCCCCCCCCAGCGCAATGCCCCTCTCCCACATACACACAGATCTATTGCCACCCTTGGTATCACAGCAATATATTACTTTACTATAATTATGGTTACGGTTTTGTGGATTCTCGTTTTTTTGAAAATCACATGTTGAATTAAAGTATCCTTGAAAAATAAACGAGAACTAATGAAAATGAATTGTATAATTCTTTTTCTAAAACTGGGTGATTTCGATAAAAACTTGATTGTTTACGCTATAAAATTATGGATACTGTTGATTTTTGTAAAATATTTATGTATTACAATATAAGTATGTAGGGACTGTTTGCCATTCTTTAAGTTTTATTAACATTAGCAAATGTACCTGCATTTATCACTTTTTTCTTATGGATCCTAAAGTTTTGCTTTAAGCATTATTACGTGATTATGTAACCGTGATTTTCTATGCTTTTAATTTTAAGTGTCTTCAAATCCTGTATCGTGGAATAAAGCGGAGGCGAAACATCGTTCACTAGCAGCCAACGTCAGCATGTCTAAAGCAACGATGAATCTACGATCAAATGACAATGCATCTAAACGTGTTTTTGTTGTGGATTCTGTTGACAAAGCAATTACTGAGCAAGGATGGAAGCCTGCTGCACTGTACGTTTTTTAATCTTTCTTGGTGTGTTTATTATCTGTATTATTATTTTAGCGATAGTCAATGGCGATAATAGTGTAAGCCCTCAATACCCAAGTGCAAGATCTTACGTTTTGTTATATCCAGTTCTTTTGAAATCGAATGTGTTTTTTTTCAGTTCCATTTTAATATGCATATATAAATTTTTTCCACTCCCCCCTCCTCCCAATGATCGAACTCGCAATGTCCTTGCTTCACGTATGAGAACAACTACAGTTAATACTTCATGTTGTTTTTTTGGAGGTGACGTCATTTGCTCAAGTAATGTTAGATCCATACTACCGAACGATTGATGGTTTTAAAGTTTAGTTGAAAAAGAATGGTTGTCCTTTGGACATCGTTTCTCACATGGCTGTAATCATACATATTCAACGCAATCAAGTGGATTCACGCCTGTTTTCTTGCAATTTCTTGATGGCGTCCATCAGGTTATCATTGTTTCTTAATTAGTTATTTTAGTGAACGATATTTTAATGGAATGTGATAAGGAAAGATGGAAAACGGTGTAAGATAAAGCTTCAGATTGTCAATGTCTACTGGTTTCTGTTAAAAATTACTATAGAAAGGTTAACTTTGTTGTTTCTTACCATAGCTTTGTGCCTATTTGATTTAGTCCGAATCATACTTTGCGATGCTTTATTTTTGTGATTTGTTTGGATAGAAGCATTAAAACCATTTACAATTGCGCGAAAATTCTAAACATTTAATGTTCTGTATTTGTGAAATTTTTGAGCTTGAACACTTGATGAAGAACAAGTTTTCTATTGTTACTTTTCACCCACGTGATGTTTGCTTGACTACGGTTGCTAGCCACGATACTACACAAAGTGATCAAAAAGGGAAACTAGTGTTAGGAAATTTATATGGAAGTTTCATTTGGTTATATTGCAATGGATGGAATGAGGATCCAAACATTGCAAAGTTAAAAGTCTTTGTTTCGATACCCAGAATAATCACTCATCAAGCAAAAAGTACGAGGAACCGGCTAGTAAGCGGACAGGTGATAATTATTGTATTGTCGTGTTTTTTTTTTTTAATAAAAATTGTGAATTTCATTTATATTTTTAGCAAACGAGAAGCAAGTTTTTTTCGACGTAAGTAAATATATTTTTGTATCTTTCATCTCTATGTTGCTTGTTTGAAGCTTCAAGGTGCTGTAAATCATCACCAATTTTGATTGGTTTAAATTATTGTATGAAAAACCATTTGGTTAATCGTGCGTGCTATTTTCTGTGAAAGATGTAAGCGTGGCTAGCATTAAATAATGGTAATAAGCTCTTTTATGAACTTTCAAATTTTCCCTGAAGCTTAAAGATGATCCTTTCTTTCCACTTTTAGTTGATTTAGCTTGACATTGAAAAAACAATTAAATATTTTACACTGATAACATTGAACCCTGTTTTTAAAACTTTGAAATAAAACCGATGTAAACTATCATGCATGTAAAATACTTATTCTTCTTAAAGACTATTTTCACTGCCTTATATGTTTCTATAGCTTCGTACAGAGAAACGATTGTATAATTTGTATGCTGCGACTGAGGAAGAAGCCAAGAAATGGATATCTAAATTACAAAGCTTGGATACGTAGAGCTTCCACGGTCCAATTATGAATTTCATTATAATCAAAAGAAATGTTGTGCATATGTGAAATATTTTAACATTTTAGAACGCATATTTAGGGTAATTTATGTATGTATTTTAATTTTTTTAAATAATAGTATCATTTTGAGGCACGCACAGGTTTCAAATAATTATGACTGAAATAACCAATACGAATTTTCGTTGTATTTCCACATGTTATAAAAATAGTGTGACACCAGTTATAATCAGTGAAGCTATTATTTTTCATCAATTACGTATTTTAACAATAAGAGTCTCAATACTATCAAACGGTAGGCTAACAAGTTTAACTTATCTGCTCAGTCTGAACCACAGATCTAATAATACACTAGATAGTACAACTGACATAAAAGTTGAAGCCGGGCAAATTTACTTCCGGAGCCCCAAAGTAGTGAGAATCAATATGGCGTTGAACAAGAAAATATGTGGTCCAAGTTAATATCTCGCAATTATTACCAAATCGCGGAGGTTGCATCAACTTTTTTGCACTATTTATGAAATAAATCATTGTGACTATAGTTTGTAAGAAAAAATTGAAGAATACTCCAGTACATCGCCGTAAAATTGATTTCAAGTGTAGCTCGATTTGAAAGCATCAGCAGCGACTAAGGCTTAAGTACTGGAATTTACACATCTAAATATCGTATCACAGGACAATCTGCGATAGTGTGGCTTAGTTCGTGTGGCAAATACAGCGATATCATACTCGATCTATGGATGTATTGTAATAGAACAGGCATATTACAAAAATCAGTCAGAAATTGACACATGTTACAAGCACAAATTAAATATTTTGCTCAGAATAAATAATTTAGGTTTGATATTTTCAATAACAAGAATGTGTAGAAAGTTTTATATGCATGTACATGCCTGAATGGTAAAAAAGACAATAAAAATGTTGAAAACAGTAGCATAACATCACCATAACAGTACATTAAGCACTGTGGGCAGTGGCCATATAACCCACTGGTTTAGACTATGACAATACATTGTTTATATATATGTGTAAAACACAGTCAATACTACAAGTCTGGTGACTCTTCTTGCTTTAACAAGTAAATATTTTCCCCGTGTTGGACAGAGTGTATTGTATCAACCTGTGGTATCAACAGTTTCACAAGTGACCTGCTATTTTATACTTCACAAAAAATTTGGTGTAACAGAGGTAGACTCATAATATAAAACAAATTCCGAAGAAGCAAGACAGACTCTATGACATAGACAAGCAAGACAAGCAAGACAAGCAAGACATAGACAAGACATAGACAAACAAGACATAGACTCTTCGAGGTAGACTCTTCACATTCTTTCTGTAAATAATTTCTGAACGTATTAATTACTCACATCGTGACATAGCTATATTCGTTTGCCGACTAGAAACACCAGAAAAATGCATTTCTGGTACAATAATCCAGTGCAATATTTAATTATGTACAGTGAACAATATACTTTATATAAATCGTGAAAAATCTTTCAAACTGTTATCTGCAACTCGTTTTACTTAACAATAAATATCGGAAGATAATTATACGACGTTCGATTGAACATTTTGTGGCAGATTGTGCTGTGATACGATATTTAGATGTGCAAATTCCAGTATCTTAAGCCTTCGTCGCTGCTGATGCTTTCAAATCGAGCTACACTTGAAATCAATTTTACGGCAATGTATTGGCGTATTCTGCTATCTTTTTCTTGAAAAACTATGGTCACATTGATTTTTTTCATTAATAGAGTAAACCAGTTTATGTTACCGTCGTGACTTGCAAGTAATTGCAAGATATCAGCTTTGACCAGATATTTTCTAATACAACGCCATATTGATTCTCACTACTTTATGGCTCCGGAAGTAAATTTGCCCGGCTTCAACCACTACTTATGAAATGCAAGCCGTTGCACTATCTAGTGTATTATTAGATCTGTGGTCTGAACCCTACTCCGAGTCTAGAGTACGTGATTCCAACAATAATTCACAATAGGTTTTCCAAACAGATTAAAGGTACAGAAGTCAAAAAGGCTTAGTTGATGTCTCCAAGACTTGTAGGGTGTTGTTTTGTCAACCTACACTGCCGTATAAGTTATCTTTAATTTGCTGTGCCTCGTAAATTGTCCTCAATAAGTTGTACCCTGTAAGTTGTTCTCATGCAATATAGTTGAATTACTTACATATATATATATATAATAATGCCACAATAGAAACCAGAATAAAAACTTCTGTATAGTTCTATAAAATATGCTCACGCATGCAAGAAAGCTTCTAGATTTCCTTCTAATAATGACCATGGATTTCTATTGAATTACCTGAATGAGGAAAATGGCTTGGATGCAGCTGGTCAAAATATAATGGAGGACGTGAAGACTCTCGTTTGCATTGTGGTTGTAGAACATACTTCGTATTAGTGAAGCTAAATAATATGAAAAGTCGCTGGGGGAGGTAGCGTTCTAACCTTTTAGCAAAGTTTTAGGAAAATTGCGTCTTGTTCATTCTTAGTCAGTATATCCAATGTTTGCCAGTATTTGAAAAACATTTGTATTTTAGGCTGTTGAATTAAAACCGTCAGTGAGTGCTTTGCTTGCTTTTTTTCATGTTCATATATAATAAAACGAAGACATAGTTTTGTTTTGTTTATGTTTCTTTCAAATTTCTTGAATAATTAAATAAGTTTGTGTGTTGCAATTTTCAGCCGGTATTTCAATATTATGCTAAAAATATATCAGCATTTACACTTTTTCTGTGCAATTTAATTTATAAATAACATTTAGTTATAAGTACTACAGAAATGATCAAAATATTAAAGCGAGCATATGCACTACGATAAAAACATCGCAAAGTTATAATTCAAATATACATCTAATGTTTTGCTCAATCAATGCTCACTATATTATTTTAAAAATGTTATGATTAACAACAATAAAAATCATATGGTGTAATACCCTTGTTTTACATAACAATATACACCTACGAAGGTTCAAATTCCTTTGCATAAAAACATTTATTATACACGGAATTGAAGGATGCGTATGATGTTTTTATGAGATGAGTTTAAGAAATTTGAAGTCGCTATCAGTTCAAGGTAGGTTAACAAAAGTAAATAAAGTTGTAATTACTATACGTCATAGATGATCGGTTATTTTATCTGTACTATTAATGATTTCGTACTTTGAATATATTCATGGCTTGCTTTAATTCTCAAGGGTTAAAATTTTTACAAAACCAATCGTACTCAATAAACATTTAACGATTATTTGTCGTGCTTCCTTTAAAACAGCGAGTTTTTATTAAAGGGAAACATGATTGGACGATTTTAAGTTTAAATGCAGACAGGGAGTCGGACGATTCGACGATTTAAAAATCAATAAAAATTATTCTTAACATGAATTTATAGTTATAACAAAATAAAGCTAAATTAAGTGTTGTATTTATTAGTTTTCTGATATAAATTTGAACCCACCACTGAATGGCTAGTATATAGCGTAGACACACTATACATAAATTTTGACTGAATTTTGTGTAATTCAAAAATATAATATTTTGTTTGAGCTTTTACACTGAGCTTTTTCAATGTCTTATTTGCGTCTAAGTCATCCATACGACGACATGTGAATTATATATAATTTAAATAAACTACTTCATGGTAGGTGAGTGCGTACAATTTAAAACTCAACGTAGACAATTCCGTTCTAACGAAGGAACTTAATTGTTTTGTATTTTCCGTTGTTCCTTTTCTTTTGGACAGAAATGTAATGTATTTCCCGAGATATTCACGAAGTTGTTGGACGGAATTGAGATTTATATTTGTTTCGGCAATAAAAAACCTTGAAGAAGTCTATACCCGTAAACTAAAAGCTCACTCACATTCACATATATTGAGAGCGACATAAAAATCACACTCTATCTAATTATGAGCAAAGTCATTTCTCTATCTATGGCAAGATTTTCTCCTAAATATTTCAAATCAAGCAATCAGTTGAGAGAAATTGAGCTTTGAATATGTATGAAGTGCTTTCGAAGCCGCACTCATTGACTGTGCAATGTTTGCCATATTTTCTGTGCGCATGCGTTGAATTCACCGTTTTTCTGGCTAGTAACTTGACGACTGTGTACTATGATATTGTATTAAAAAAAAGGATTTTTGAGTATTAGTCATCTCATATTGGTAAGATGGCGAAAGGTTGTAAGAGAACAGGAAAGATATATAAGATATATTTACAGCGAGAGCTCATAATTTCATTGCTAACAAGTACGTAAATGCCCCTTCTTTGGTAAATTCGTACGTTTCAACGTAGGATAAGAAAAGAAAGAAGTCAACGCAATCAACTTTCGTTTCGCGAAAACGATCATTATCCACATCCATATATGCAAGAAGAAGAAACAAATAAAGTGGTCAAATCATAGACTCTGATATATAATCATCATTGGTATAACCATCAAAAATTTACAATGTGTGACATACCAGCTTCTATAAATTCTTTTACATGCGTTTGTGTACAAATAGAAGATTGGATTAATTGGTTTTGGGACGTTAAAGTTGGTGAAATAACTGAGTCGTATTTGCGGTTCTTTCTTGTCAATAATGTCTTAAAGCGAAACAATTTGTATCATCAGTAAATTGGACTTTGGACTTTCATTTTTGAAAAAATGTTATGTATTGTACAGTAAATATATCTTTTTTTATGAAATATATCTTTTTTTGTGTTATTTTTGTTTTTATATATTTTCTATTACACTTTATGAACTAATATATATATTGATATCATAACAGGCTCACCCTCTCTATTTTTTATGTTTACTACCGCTGACTGCTCAAAAACGATACCCCAGTGCCCCCCGAGCCTGCGATGATATATATATATATATATATATATATATATATACAAAGTGTATAACAATGTGCCCTCCCAGTTATCACCATAGTAAAATGGTGACTCCTGCACTTGGGACACAGGACGTACGGTTACACATTGTATGGATTGTATTGTAGAGTCACCAGAGCGCTCAAACCTATATAGGTGAGCAATGTATAAAGCGAATGCGGTGAACGTCTCTTTATGAGACTCTCTACGCAATCCGAGAGCGCTCAAACTGCGCAAGCGCAGCGAGCGTAATATACAAAGTGTATAACAATGTGCCCTCCCGGCTATCACCATAGTACAATGGTGACTCCTGCACCATAACTACTGGATCTTGTGACCCAGTAGTTAACTAATATATATATATATTAGTTAACACATGTTTTAGTATAACAATCAAAGTGCTGTAGAAGAACATCCTTTTTTACGGGCCATTATAAATAAATTTCTAGCAAATCAGGGTCATAAAAATAGATATATCTGTGTGTAAATGATACCAACATTATTTTATTGATGACGTGACTTGTTTACGTTTTGCTAAAAGGCAGGTTTAATCGAGTGTTTTTAGACAACACTGGAAACAATGTTTAACCTCCCTTGGGATAAATCTGTCTGTCAGTAAGCTGTAAACAAGCTTAGTCTGAGTATTAAAGTCATCTATAAGCTCAGCTCAGTGAGCTAACGTGTTACCATGTTCACTCCCCAACTGCTTGTTTTTCTTGGTCTTCTATACAAGAATATCTGCCTTTTCCGTGCTCAATTTTAATGAATTGTTTTGAATTCATGTTGCACTTTAAACTGTACCACAATTTCTTTTTTATGTGTGTTTTTCCATAGTTTTTTCTGTTGGATAAGATTTATTGTGTGGCATAGCGGCCAGGCCCTGCCAGACTAGCTAAGCTTAGTCCCCACGCCTTGGTTTTTCTTGTTGGTTATTGTACAAATTTTGTGTGAAATAATATCTGAATAGTCGGCGGTTGGAATGTTGCGCAATTTGCTATCTTTTGACACCTTAAAAAGAGTGTCTAGTGTGAAGCCAATCACAGCAAAAGCATTTTGTGCAAGTGACACCATGAAATCTGGATCGACACCTTAGCCATAATTTTGTTGCGCAATGACTGAGACATCGTTGCAGATGGGAAATAGTAGTAAAACAGCTTGCCAAAATCAATGATATTGACAACAGTGATTAATACATATTACATCTACCATGGTCTCCTACACTGCGAGTATTGACATTCTGCGCTATACTAAGTCGAAGTTTCAGTTTTTTTAATATTGAAGAAGGTATTTCCATCAAGATTTTTAAGCTGAAGAAGCTTGTGAACGCTTTTTGGTGCAAGAGAGAGCTTGAACAAGCAAAATTGGAATAACGACGACGAGTATGATCTTGTGAATTTTCAGAATTGCCTTTTCTGCAGAGTCAGAAGAATGACATATAATGCTTTGTGCACCAGTAAGGTAAGATTCTGACGTAGTTACTTGCTATAGATGATAAAAATCACTCAATTATGCTTATGGCCCTTAATGATGTATTTATCAAATGGAATTAATATGGTGGTCAGTCACTCAAACTTCATTAAAATGACCTCGTATTTTCATTGAAAATAAGCCATCTCCTTAATTATTAAAGCTTGCTATAACACTACAGTTGTGTCCTAGAAGCTGTTTGATTTGTACCCGATTGATATATATGTATATAAAATAATGTTACTTCTCAATTTTTAATGCCTGCTATAACACTGCAACTGTATTCTCGAAACTCACTGGTTGCTTTGTACCATGTAGGTCATATAAATGATAAGCCTCCTCCTCAATACTTAAGCTTTCTATAAAAAGGCGAAGTTCTTTATTCCCAAAAGCTGGTTACTTTGTAACAATACCATATAGATATATGTACAAATAAGCCACCTCCTCAATTATTAAAGCTTGCTATAAAAATGCAGCTGTGTCCCTGACAATGTTTGATTTGTACCAAAAGATGTATATAAATAATTATCCTACTTCTCAATTTTTAATGCGTGCCATAACACTGGAACTGCATTCCTGAAATTGGGTTGCTTTGACCATATAGTTTTACAAATAAGCCACCTCCTCAGTTCTTAGAACTTTCTATGACACTGCAACTTTGTTCTCTAAGATGTTTACTTTGTACCCTATTGTTATATAAATAATAATTATCCTTCTCAATTTTTAAAGTTTGCAGTTAAATTGCAACTAATTCTCCTAGCTGGCTGCTTTGTACCCTATAGATAAATAAATAATGAGTCTCTTCCTCAATACATAACATTAAGCTTGCTAATTTGTTGTATAGCTGAAGCTCATTGCTTTGGACATGATCTTTCTCTAACATTAAAAAAATAATTTATGTACCTCAACTATATAACTATATAGTAATATTTTCTACTCAACTTGTTTTAGTACATTGGGTGATGGAAATTGTCTTTACAATGTTTGTTCTATTGTCTTGATTGCAAATGAAAATCTTTCCACCATACTGAGGTGCCTCACAAGCATTGAGCTAAATGAAAATGCTTCATACTATGCTAAGCACACCCTTTATTTCTCAGTAAAGACCGAGAAAGCGAGGTTATTAAAAGAATTATTATATGGCATTATTTGACCTGAAACGAAGCTTGATTTCTTTCTCGTCCTTGATGTTTTTACGGGTTGATTTTCACTTTTCTAGTTTTCGTCCATAAAAAATAAATCGTTTTAAATTGTATCGTCTAGATAGTTTAACTGTTTTCCAAGTGTTTTTCCTTCGAATCACATTCGTAAATGGTTTTTTGTTTCGTGTTTTTTTTGCGTTTTACTGTTTGCTTTACGAAGTTTCTTTACATTTGATTGTAAAATTACGCATTTTGGACCGTGGTCGATTACGGGAAAATAATGGACCGGCAAAATGTTTCTGAGCCAATCAAAGCGCGCCACTTAGCCGGAAGTGACGCTTGCCTTATAATAATTACCATTATTTACCATTATAGTTACTATTACTTACCATTGTCTACCCTTACTTACCATTACTAACAATTACTTACTTTATTGTTAGCTTTTCTGCAATGTTATTGGTTATATATATTCTGTTAGGGTGATGGATCCCTTGTGGTACAAAATGCGCTGGTTATTGAAAACTTGAATTTAACTCCGTATTGTGAAGACTATAAAAGACTTGGCTTTGGCTCTGTACTTGAGGAACGTATAGGGAGTAAAAGTGGATCTTGGAGGCTTTCTATGGTCAATCTTTCGTACGCAGCCTGTCGAAGGTAAAGTTATAAGAAAAATGCAGCAAATAATTTTCTATTACATAATTGTTATGCTCAAAGTTTCCGAATAAGACTTAGGAGCATTTAACCCTTTCATTATTGCCATAAGTGTTTTAAAACTCATATTTACTCGTACAATACATTTATTTTGCGAAAGGGTAAGCTTTACAAGTCTTAAAAGTAAACATGTTTCGACAAAATAGTCATCATATTGTGGATTTTTCTTTCAGTTACCCGGCTGTTTTAGTGGTGCCACAACACGTGACCGATGACTCTTTGTTGCGCGTGTCTAAAAATCATCGCAATATGCGTTTTCCTGTTGCGACGTGGAGACATAAAGTCAATAAATTCGCCGTTTTATTGCGATCTTCTGCCATTGAACGAAGCTCTGTGGCATCCATCATTCGCTCTGGTGTAGCTGCAAGTGGTGGAAGCACTGACGCAATACGTTCATCCAACGTGGAGCAAGACAAATATTTATCTGCCGTTGGTTAGTTGTTTACATTTATCATTTCAACGCTCGTCCCCTACCCTCACATGTAAGTGCCCTCCCCCCCCCTAGCGCAATGCCCTCCCACATGAACACAGATCTATTGCCACCCTTGGTATCACAGCAATATATATTACTTTACTATAATTATGCGTAAGTTGTGGATTCTCGTTTTTTTAAAAATCACATTTTGAAATAAAGTATTCTCGAAAAATAAACGAGAACTAATAAAAATACATTGAATAATTGTTTTTCTAAAACTGAGTGATTTAGTTATAGCTGGATTGTCTACGCTATAAAATTATGGATACTGTTGATTTTTGTAAGATATTTATGTATTATAATACAAGTATGTATTGACTGTTTGCCATTCTTTAAGTTTTATTAACATTAACAAATGTACCTGCATTTATCACTTTTTTCTTATGGATCCTAAAGTTTTGCTTTAAGCATTATCATGTGCTTATGTAACTGTGATTTTCTATGCTTTTAATTTTAAGTGTCTTCAAATCCTGTAACGTGGAATAAAGCGGAGGCGAAACATCGTTCACTGGCAGCCAACGTCAGCATGTCTAAAGAAACGATGAATCTACGATCAAATGACAATGCATCTAAACGTGTTTCTGTTGTGGATTCCGTTGACAAAGCAATAACTGAGCAAAGATGGGAGCCTGCTGCACTGTACGTTTTTTAATCTTTCTTTGTGTGTTTGTTATCTGTGTTATTATTTTAGCGATAGTCAATGGCAATAGTAGTGTAGGCCCTCAATACCCAAGCGCAAGATCTTACGTTTTGTCTTATCCAGTTCCTTTGAAATCGAACGTGTTTTTTTTTCAGTTCCATTTTCATGTTCCTATATAAATATTCTCCACTCCCCCCTTCCCAATGATCGAACTGGCAATTTCTCTGCTTTACGTACGAACAACTACCGTTAATACTTCATGTTGTTTTTTCGTAGGTGACGTCAGTTGCTCAAGTAATGTTAGATCCATACTATCGAACGATTAATGGTTTTAAAGTTTTAGTTGAAAAAAATGGTTGTTCTTTGGACATTGTTTCTCACATCGCTGTAATCATACACATTCAACGCAGTCAAGTGGATTCACGCCTGTTTTCTTGCAATTTCTTGATGGCGTCCATCAGGTTATCATTGTATCTTAAAGTTATTTTAGAAAATTGGGGTTAAGATGGTATGGTGTCCGTCGTCTGAGTATTGTGGGAAATGTTTTTTTATATTACACAAGAAAAACGTTTGACCAAAGCTTGAGTTAGCATAAATTTTTTTTTGAAAACTTTATTCCATCAAAAATTTTAGTCATGAAGTTAAGGCGCTTTTCTCGCCATAAATTTGAAATATACATTTAACTCTTAAAAGCAACTCTTTCATGGTCATTAACTTCAAAGTTTTCTGTCATTGTACGACTTAATAAATTGACACGCGTGTCTGAGAGTAAAATTTGGTAGTGTCAATTGTTAAACCTAAATATTTTTCTTCTCTTGACAAAAACGAGGACAAATACGTATGTCTGTGTATAATTATATTGTGCGATGTTTTTAACGAGATAGAACAAAATTTGAACAAAATTTGTTAGTGCAAATAGGAAAGGTTTGATTATAAATTGGACGATAAAAATATTTTTGTTGTTAGAATTTCGCTCACAAACACAAAAATTATAATTTATTTAGCATCTAAAATATGTTTACTAAATCACAAGGATTGTTTCCTTTATTTTCTCTTGAAGATTTTCTTGTCGTAAACCAGATTTAATACATTCTCTTTAAATTCCCAGGTGCTTCGTCCTCATTGCAACGTTTCCAATCTAAAATTATGGAGTTATTTTGTTTCGGAGAATGTCTCCACTGGTCCAGAGTTTGATCAAGAAGTTATAAATGAGACAGAAACCGCTGCCGAGGAAGGACAACAGAAGTTAGAAGACAAGTACGATGCCAAAAGGTATAAATATAATTTTGCGTTAAGAAGTAAGCGCGTTTCCATGTAAAACTTAGCAAAGTACATCTACGATTTGCGTGTTTCCATTAAAAATTAGTGAAGTACTTCGATACTTAGCGTGTTTCCATTTGAAAATTATTGAGTACTTTAATAGTTAGGATGTTTCCATTTAAACATTATGTAGTGCTTCCATTATTAGCATGTTTCTATTAAAAAATAAGTTTAATGCCATTCGTAGCTTGCATGCTTGCACTATATGTTTAAAAAAGTGATTTACAATATTCAACCATGCGTAAATTATTGAATAAAATAGCTAACGCTTCATATTGTTTACTAGACGCTGTCGAAGTGGTATGTTTGGTGGATCGGTTCATTACGACAGTAGTAGCTGTGCATATCGTTTGTACGAATATAATCGCATCGAAGAAGAGGCTGACAAACACGCAACTCGTTGAAAAAAATTTATGGCAGCGTTTGAACAGCCTAAAATAACGAAAACGGTATTTATAGCAAATATACTTTCATTGTGACGTGTTGTTTCACTTTTATTTTGTAAACATTTAGTAAAGGTCATCCACTGGATTTTTTGTAAATGGCTGTGAATATCATATCTTAGGTCTCATTTAGGCAGCATAACTAATTTTTGCTTACTGAATGTGTGCATCGTACGTATGAATACCATTACAGACTGGAGTGTATGAATTGTATGAATACCAGACTGGAGTATGTGCATGGTATGAATACCATCCCAGACTGTGGTGTTTGCCTGGTACGAATGAACACCATAACTGACTGGCATTTTTTCTTTACAGTTTTTAACATACAACGAAGAACTTTCCAGAGTCCGTAGTGGTGTACTACACAAACGAGATTCGATGGTCATAATACTTGAGGTAGTATTTATGGTTCTTTTTCTTTATGATTAATTTATATTGATTGTAGATAATTTATAACTTCAATGACCATTTTATGATTACGTGATTTTGAATCAATATTCTCGTTCATGCAATATACTCGTTCTCTTGTGTGATTTTTGATAAAATAATTTCTATATACAAAAAGATTTTTGTATTAGTTTGGTAACTTATAAAAATGCACTTTTTTCACATTTTGTTTTGCTGTGCTGGTAGCACTAAACCGTGAAATTGTATTCATGTTGTCTTGGAATATGTTGTGTTCTTTAAGAGCTAGAAAACACTTTCTGAGTTTCTAGAGAGTTTTAGAAACACGTGATTGGGAGAAACAATAAATTACATGTCAAAGAGAAACACGAAGCGCGTGTGTAAAAATTTCACGAGTGTTTCTATATAAATCAATAGGAATAGGCAAATATTTTTTTGTATTTTCTTTATGAAATAACGTTTTAAGAAGAATATAAAGACAATGAATTCTTGAATTTTAATAACATGTTGTTTATATTTTTGCCTTGAAACTTTCCGCCATAACCACGGAAGTTTTTCAATAATTTTGAGAGACTGAAGCTCTTGTGCAATAAAGGGTTTTATAGACACGGGTTTTTCAAGCATTGCACTAATCAGCACCCGTGTTTTTAAAAGTTTTTTTCAAACAATATGAGATTGGTATCATGCTGCCATTTTGAAAGATTCTGGAACACAGTTTGTATAAAATTTTAATGTCTCTGAATTCTGATTTTTTGATAAAATCTTGAAAAGTAGTCAGTTAACGCATTAGTTTAATCTTCATTTAATTTCTTTTTCCTGAAATGGAGGTAAAATTGACATCTTAATGTTGGAACTTTTGTAAGTGACTTACCTTGTGGCGGCTCACTTCACATGACAACACACCTTTTGTACTGGTTTCATTAAATAATTTGTTTCGTTAAGTGACCTACCTTGTGGTGGCTCACTTCACATGACAACACACCTTTTGTACTAGTATCAGTAAATAATTTCTTTGTTAAGTGACCTACTTTGCGGTGGCTCACTTCACATGACAACACACCTTTTGTACTGGTTTCAGTAAATAATTTGTTTCGTTAAGTGACCTACCTTGTGGTGGCTCACTTCACATGACAACACACCTTTTGTACTGGTTTCATTAAATAATTTGTTTCGTTAAGTGACCTACCTTGTGGTGGCTCACTTCACATGACAACACACCTTTTGTACTAGTATCAGTAAATAATTTCTTTTGTTAAGTGACCTACTTTGCGGTGGCTCACTTCACATGACAACACACCTTTTGTACTGGTTTCAGTAAATAATTTGTTTCGTTAAGTGACCTACCTTGTGGTGGCTCACTTCACATGACAACACACCTTTTGTACTGGTATCAGTAAATAATTTGTTTTGTTAAGTGACCTATCATGTGGCGGCTCACTTCACATGACAACACACCTTTTGTACTGGTTTCAGTAAATAATTTGTTTTGTAAATTGACCTATCATGTGGCGGCTCACTTCACATGACAACACACCTTTTGTACTGGTTTCAGTAAATAATTTGTTTTGTAAATTGACCTATCATGTGGCGGCTCACTTGACATGACAACACACCATTTGTACTGGTTTCAGTAAATAATTGGTTTTGTTTAAATTTTCATAATACGTTGATTCCTTTGTTACGTTTGTTAGGCTTTCCATGCCTGTTAAGATCTTAGCTTTAAAAAAATGTCAACATTGTTGTGTTTTGCGAAGAACAGACAGCAATTGCTTAAATTTGTAATTCAAAATTATTTCTACAACTTTTGCTGCGTATTTATACCTTTCAAGTAGAGATTAACTTTGTTACTTTTATAAGATGACCTTGTAGAAACTGATTTCACTTAGCTTCTTTTAAAGCTACATACTATGTGACAGATGTTACTTTTATATTTCAGGGGAAACTTCAAATCGAAGACTACAGTAACCAAGGTTTTTCACGACCTCATTCATTTGAACCTCACAGTTTCTTTACGCCAACCAACTGCGATTTCTGTCTACAAGTGATATGGAATATTGGAAAAGGAGGTATGGTTTGCTTGTGTATCTATCTATTTATGATGGCCATGCAGTTGACTTTCCGTTCCATCTATAAACACGCTTCTTTATCTTGTCTACTGTGCAAAGTTTCTATGGAAATTTTTGCTAATAAAGTTTTACAACTAGCAAAGCTTTATAGCAGAATGCACGCGCGTTTATGTTAGTTAATTATACCCCTAGTAAAAATTTAATTTTGAAATGAAAGTGAAACAATCGCAGCCAGACAATATTTTTGTGCTAGATTTATGATAATTGTTATGTCATACAACTGATAATTTATTTCATGATGATTGTGACGCCGCTATTGTCTATCATAAATTTCAATGAGTGTCTACCGTTGATAATTTAATAATTTAAGAAATTTATTCAAGTCTATCCAAAATAGATTAAAATGGCTTGGCTCGGTCCTGGCATTTTGATACCCCAAAACTGTTCACCACGCGTCGTAGTTACGTTAACGTTTTGTGGAGAGATTTTGGCTCCTGCCACCAAAAATTTTTTTGTATTTTAATATGTGTTTTTTGTAAGATTCAGATGCACAGAATGTGGATACAACTGCCACGAGAAATGCGGATCACGTGTTCCTAAAACGTGTCCTAATTACAAGAATCTGAAAGACCAGAATGATAGCATGCCATCTAATAGTAACAAAAGCTTACATGAGGTACAACATAGTACACTTGTGAACTTCTACTATTGATGTTTGTTAATTGCAAGCATTTTCCTTCCCTTTTAAATTTATAATTATATAATATTGTTACGTGCGTGGTCCCGAAAGAATAACTATTAATTTTGGTTCTATTTCCACACGCAACAAAGATAGTGTGAACCAGTTATATTTCTCAAACAATTTATTAATCAACGCGTAAATATAAAAAGTAGATAAGTGTCTTAATAATTATATCGATAAGTATGAGTAAAACTTATCTCCTCTGTCTGAGTACAACCGCGAGTCTTTATTCTTGAGCGTTCGTGAGTCCAACAATGACTCACAATAGTTTTCCAATAGATTAAAGCACAGAAGCCAAAAGATAGTTATGGCACAGAAGCCAAAATAGTTGTCTGGTAGATTGTAGCTTGTCAACCTACTTCGGTAGGCTATGCCTCCTAAGTTTCTCCTCGTAGCTTGTGCTCGTAGGTTGTCCTCGTAGGTTGTACTCAGTGGTCTAAACTACTGATATATATATATAATCTAATCGGAAGTATTGTGGTTTTGTGACCTACATCCCATACGCAATACAGTATGTTACAGCAAGATATAGTTAACCACAATAACAACAAATGCGGTTGCGGTTCTAAAGTGTTTACGCATGTAAGCAAGCTTCTAGCGCATGCAAGCAAGCTTCTAGATAACGTTCTAATTAATTATATATGAAATTATAATATGACATTAAAATGATATTACATGATAGTAGTTGCTATCATGTAACAAATATGTAAACAAAGAAGATATTGTTAAGTTTCGCTTTATATTACTCAGTTATACCGGATTAAGCTTTAGTTATACTAGCCAAAGTGATTTATCATGAATTAGTCATTTGAATAATCTTTATCATTCCATAGTCTCCAAGTTTAAACAAATCTTCGAAATTTTTGTGTGGGTATCTATGGAAACGAGGTGCTTTATTCAAACAATGGAAGCAACGGTATTTTGTATTGGATACGGAAAGACATCCGGTAATGTTCTTTATTGGCTATTTTAGTAAACGATATTTTGATGGAACGTGATAAGGAAAGATGGAAAACGGTGTAAAATAAAGCTTCAGATTGTCAATGTGTACTGGTTTCTGTTAAAAATTACTATAGAAAGGTTAACTTTGTTGTTTCTTACCATAGATTTGTGCCTATTTGATTTAGTCCAAATCATACTTTGCGATACCTTCTTTTTGTGATTTCACGTTAAATTTTCATTGTTGTATTTGTGAAATCACGTTAAAAGCAAGAGTAACAAAAAGTGCATTTTAAAAATCGTTACATTACTGACAGAGCATGGAATTGTTAAAAAGAAGTTCTGAGAACGGGAGGTGCATGATTTAAAGTTTGCGACTCTTTTGATGCTGAAAATCGCAAAGTTTAAACGGTGCAAATTGTTCGATGCACTTATTTCTAGTTCATTGCAATTTGCTGTCCTTAGCTTTAACATTTTACGATGTCTATGTTTTCACAAATTAATTGGTTTTGTAGCTTCGTTACTATGATGAAGTAAGCGATGTTCATTGTCAAGGTGTTGTCAACTTAACTGAAATTATTTCATGTGAAATGTCACAGTTGAATTGTAAGTTTTATTTCAATATTTTGCTCTATAGTCTTATTTCTTCCATGGTTTTGACGAGCTTTTAAAACAAAGCTCTATTGACTTTGGTTGCATAACTAGGAAAAACGACTTTTCTGTTAACTTTGGATTTTTTGCGTGTTGAGGGTGTTGTGTGTTCCAAATTAAAACTTCTCCTAGGATATTACCTAATTGCAAAGTTTTAAGCTTTTTTAGTATCTGTAGAAAACATATTTATTTCAGTATATAAAAATTAATAATATATTTAAGTATGGAACAAGTTGCAATTTCGTATTTACTTGTACGATAAAACTGTAAACATGATTACATGATTGTAAAAGTGCTGTAATTGTATTGTCGTGTTTTTTTTTTATAAAAATTGCAAATTTCATTGATATTTTTTGCAAACGAGAAGCAAGTTTTTTTCGACGTAAGTATATATATTTGTGTATCTTTCATCGCTGTGTTGTTTGTTTGAGGCTTCAAGGTCCTCTAAATCATCACGAATTTTGATTGGTTTAAATTATTGTATGAAAAACCATTTGGTTAATCGTGCTTGATATTTTCTGTGAACGATGTAAGCGTGGCTAGCATTAAATAATGGGAATAAGCTCTTTTATGAAATTTTAAATTTTCCCTGAAGCTTAAAGATGATCCTTTCTTTACCACTTTTAGTTGATTTAGATTGACATTGAACAAGCAATTTAATATTTTACGCTGATAACATTGAACCCTGTTTTAAATCTTTGAAATAGAACCGATCTAAACCATCATGCATCTAAAATACTTATTCTTCTTAAATACTTCTTTCACTGCGCTATATATTCTTCTATAGCTTCGTACAGAGAAACGATTGTATAATTTGTATGTAGCGACGGAGGAAGAAGCCAAGAAATGGATCTCTAAATTACAAATCTTGGATACGTAGAGCTTCCACGGTCCAATCAGGAATTTCATAATAATAAAAAGAAATGTTGTGCATATGTGAAATATTTTAACATTTTAGAACACATATTTAGTGTAATTTATGTACGTATTTTAATTTTTTTAAATAATAGCATCATTTTGAGACACGCACAGGTTTCAAATAATCATGACTGAAATAACCAATACGAATTTTCGTTGTATTTCCACATGTTATAAAAATAGTGTGACACCAGTTATAATCACTGAAGCTATTTATTTTTCATCAATTACGTATTTTAACAATAAGAGTCTCAATACTATCAAACAATAGGCTAACAAGTTTAACTTATCTGCTCAGTCTGAACACTACCCCCAGTCTAGTGTACGTGATTGCAACAATGATTCACAATAGTTTATCTAAACAGATTAAAGGCACAGAAGTCAAAAAGGCTTAGTTGATGTCTCCAAGACTTGTAGGGTGTTGTTTTGTCAACTTACACCGCCGTATAAGTTATCTTCAATTTGCTGTGCCTCGTAAATTGTCCTCAATAAGTTGTACCCTGTAAGTTGTTCTCATGCAATACAATTAAACTACTTATATATATATAATAATAATCATGCCACAATAAAAACCAGAATAAAAAACTTCTGTGCAGTTCTATAAAATATGCTCACGCATGCAAGAAAGCTTCTAGATTTCCTTCTAATAATGACCATAGATTTCTATTGAATTACCTGGATGAGGAAAATGGCTTGGATGCAGCTGGTCAAAATATAATGGAGGACGTGAAGACTCTCGTTTGCATTGTGTTTGTAGAACATACTTCGTATTATCGAATCTAAATAATATGAAAAGTCGCTGGTGGAGGTTGCGTTCTGATCTTTTAGCAAAGTTTTAGGAAAATTGTATCTTGTTCATTCATTGTCAGTATATCCAATGTTTGCCAGTATTTGAAAAACATTTGTATTTTAGGATGTTCAATTAAGACCGTCAGTGAGTGTTTTGCTTGCTATTTTCATGTTCATATATAATAAAACGAAGACATAATATTTTTGTTTTGTTTATGTTTCTTTCAAATTTCTTGAATAATTAAACAAGTTTGTATGTTGCAATTTTCAGCCGGTATTTCAATATTATGCTAAACATTTATCAGCATTTACAGTCTTTCTGTGCAATTTAATTTATAAATAACATTTAATTATAAGTACTAGATAAATGATCAAAGTATTAAAGTGAGCATATGCACTACGATAAAAACATCGCGAAGTTATAATTCAAATATACATCTAATGTTTTGCTCAATCAATGTTCACTATATTATTTAAAAAATGTTATGATTAACAACAATAAAAATCATATGGTGTAATACCCTTGTTTTACATAACAATATATTCCTACGATGGTTCAAATTCCTTTGCAAAAAAACATTTATTATACACGGAATTAAAGGATGCGTATGATTTTTTTATGAGATGAATTCAAGAAAGTTGAAGTCGTAATCAGTTCAAGGTATGATACAGAAAATATAAATAAAGTTGTAATTTCTATACGTCATAGATGATCGGTTATTTTATCTGTAATATTAATGATTTCGTAATTTGAATATATTCTTGGCTTGCTTTAATTCTCAAGCTTTAAAATTTTTACAAAACCAATATTACTCAACAAACATTTAACAATTATTTGTCGTGTGTTCCTTTAAAACAGTGAGTTATGATTAAAGGGAAACATGATTCGACGATTTTAATTTAAATGCAGACCTGGAGTCCGGCGACTCGACGATTTTAAAATCAATAAAAATTATTCATAACATGAATTTACAGTTAATAACAGAATAAGGCCAAATTAAGCGTTGTATTTATTAGTCTTCTAATATAAATTTGAATCCACCGCTGAATGACTAGTATGTAGCGTAGACACACTATAGATGAATTTTGATGTGAACTTTTTGTATTTTAAAAGTAAAATATTTTGTTAGAGCTCTTGCACTAACCTTTTTCAATGTCTTATTTGCGTCTAAGCCATCTATACGACGACATGTGAATTATATATAATTTAAATAAACTCTTTCATGGTAGGTGAGTGCGTACGATTTAAAACTCAACGTAAAGAATTCCTTTCTTACGAAGGAGCTTAATTGTTTTGTATTTTCTGTTGTTCCTTTTCTTTCGGACCGAAATGTAATGTATTTCTTGAGATATTAACGAAGTTGCTTGACGGAAATGTCGTCGATGCTCTGAGATTTGTATTTATTTTGGCAATAAAAATTCTTGAAGAAGTCTATACCCGTATACTAAAAGCTCACTCACATTCACATATATTGAGAGCGACATAAAAATCACACTCTATCTAATCTTCAGCAAAGTTATTTCTCCATCTATGGCAAGATTTTCTCCTAGATATTTTAAATCATAGAATCAGTTGAGAGAAACTGAGGATTTGAATATGTATAAAGTGATTTCGAAGCCCCACTCATTGACTGTGTAATGCTTGGCATATTTTCGGTGCGCATGCGTTAAGTCCACCGTTTTTCTGGCTAGTAACTTGACAACAGTGTACTATGAAGTTGTATTGACAAAAAAGTGATTTTGGAATATTAGTCATCTCATACGCAGAGCAAAAGATTTTGAAAGATGGCAAAAGGTTTTAAGAAAACAGGAAAGATATATAAGATATATGTATTGTGAGATCTCATAGTTTCATTGCTAACAAGTACGTAAATGTTTGTTCATTAGTAAATTCAAGCGTTTCAATGTAGGTTATAGGATTGTAAATATGAATATGTTAACGAAAGTCAAAAATAGAATTATAAATTGAACGAGACTTAGCTGAAATCGAAGTCGATAGCGCTCTATCTCAGATGACTTCCTAGTTCCTGAACAGTAACTCATTGAATTTCAATCAAACTTCAACTTCAGGTAAGTCTCGTTTAATTTTCTAATTCTATTATGTCACTGTTCTACGTCACTAGGTAGTCATGTAAGATTGTAAAGCAATGTGGAGACGAGCGATAACTAATAACAAAATTATATAATTGAAATTTCACATTTCATGACTCACAAATGGCAGAAAATAGATCATTGCCAAAGTTTTTCGCCTCAATTGGTTTATTATAAAATACTTGAAAAGTTTGTTCAGTACGCCATATAGCTGCATTCATAACAGTGTCCATAGAAATATTCAATGCGTTTGCCGCAGAAGTTGATGCAGTTCTAGTACTGTGTGCACTGTAAACCTCAGTATATATACCAGCATCCTTTAACACGTATTTTAACCATGGAGAAATGGTCGCTGAAGTGACCGAATGAAAAGATTTTTGATAGCTCAATAGGAGTTGTCTAGCCCCATTTCGTATGGATGCTGTGGCATTTAGGTAATGGGACAAGTAATTGAATACACATAACCCAAGCTCTGGTGGATAAGCCCGAAATTCTACAAGAGCAGCATCTTTACCAGGTTTATATGTTTTGAGCAGTTGGTGCACATGAAAATCTATTTAATCTTCTTTCTTCTCAATATGAGAAATATCCAATCCATAAAGTGTTTGGCATCGCTGACCAGATAATAAAACTAAAAGCATTACTGTTTTTAGTGTTAATGATTTCAAATTGAGATCTTTTGGAGTATGGAGATTTCAAAGATGTTTGAATACCACTGAAACGTCCCAGACCATGGCATATCTAGGAAGAAATTGTCTAGCAACAAATACACCTTTAACAAACCTAGCAACGAGTGGATGTGTACCAAACGAGATGCCACTTGGTAGCATTAGGATAGTAGATAAGGCGCTCCTTGCGGTATTAATACCGCTGTAAGATAAACCTTCATGGTATAATTTTGTAAGAAAATTAATGCCCTCTTCTACAGAGGACGCGATAGGATCGATATTGTTTGCGTTGCAATATTATCGCCAACGGTTAAGGTATGTAGAATATTGCTTCTTGGTGCCAGTCGGCCAAGACTGCTGGATGATTTGGGAAGCCTCTGGTGAAATGCCTCTATCAGAGAGGAGTTCCCCGATAAATGGCTAAGTAAGAGCTCCAGTTTTGTATTGAGAGGGTGGATTTGATCCGGATGAGCTGGAAGAGTTAAAGTCGTTTTTCCTCTAGGTAAAACAACGGGATGTGCTATTAGCATCTGCATTAAAGCTGGCCACAACTTTGTGTTGGCCAGTTAGGGCTAAGACTAGTCCTGTGCTTTTATCTTGTACTTTTTTTGTAACACTTGCGAAACTATGCTAAAAGGTGGGAACGCATAAAATGTATAATCGGCCCACGATATCGTAAAGGCGTTGACAGCCATAGCATATGAGTCAGGTTGGTATGAAACATAGGGTTTAACTTGATTTTTCAACCTTAACGCAAACAAATCAATGTTGGGAGTTACGTCTAGTTTTTGAATGACACACGTAAAAAGAGTCTTGTTCAACTGCCATTCTGTTTCTCTGCGTGATATTCGAGATTCTCAATCCGCAATGACATTTTTTAATTCTTGAATGTGCGCTGCCATCAACCAAATATCATACGAAATGCAGTAGGTCCAGACATTTCATGTCAACTTCTGAAAGGACTTGAGTAACATGCGCCCATTTGATTAATGCAAGCTACCGCAGTAGTATTATCAATTAATACCTTTACAAGCTGAATTTTTATTTCTGAAGAAATTGACTCATGAGCAAACAATACCGCAAGAATTTCAAAATAATTTATATGATTGGAAGCCTCCAAGGGCGTCCAGTTACCCCCAGCACATACACCATTTTGGGAGCAGCCTCACCTTGTCAACGACGCATTTGTTGCTTATTGTGAGTAATTTGCCTGTAAGTCGTGCATATTGATGACTGCCACCATCGTAAATAATGTATGGCCTCAGAAGGCAGTGTCATTGTTTTTCAAAACTACCCCGGTTTAACTTAAGGGCATCGCTATTATTCATTATTATTCATTTCCAGCCAACAATAATGCAAATGACCGTACATTACGCCTGGTAGACTCGAAGTTAGAGTGCCCAAAATCCATGTTTACGCCAATTAGAGTGTGTTCAATTTAGCGTACAAAGAAAATAACAGAATTAATGACTCCAGTTTGAGACTGACTTTATTAACGTTATTAGCAATATTTGTAATGTAACAGATGTTCGCCACACATTATTTAAGCCCCAGTTAACATTTAAATACGTAATAACAGAGTTGCGTCGGGATCTTTTATCATTACAAGAACGTTTACGGACGTATTTCTCTCAATATCAAGGAGAATGATA